ATTATAATTAATCATTCTCTTTAAAATATTTTGCTCATTAATAATATACCATTGCAAAAAACTACTCAAAGTTAAAGCAAACATAGTATAAAATATATCTGACACCCTTCTATATCACAAAAACTATTTCAATTTAATAAATATATAGGAATTATAATCATGACACAAAATTAGTGAACTTATGTATCATATAAATGATACAGATTTACTTGACCAAATAACTCAAATCTGATTATGGGACTTGCAAGAACAAAGATGACTCTCACACTCAGTACTTTCAACTCTAATGCTAGAATACTTTCCTTCTAGAAAAAATCTTATCACAAGTATCCTTTCTCTAATGACTAAAATTAATATTAGCTTTACTACTTTCAATATCATACAGTAACTATTACCATAACCCTCTAATACAGACTATTCTCTTCACAATATCATTAAGCAATGGTCTTTATATCTCAAATACCATTTAACCCTAAAAAAAGATAAAGTAATATTTCTCAAACAACTTACTAAATACAATAGAATATGTCTTATCACATGGAGACAATATAAAAAATGATTCAGACAAAAAGCATATGAAGTAAAACTCAAATAGTTTATAATGCTTGAGCAAATAATCTTACAAGATACAACTACTTGATATATCTCCAATCAATACAGATCATTATCAATATCATCAAACATCACCTCTTAAATCTCAGTTATATCACACTTTACTAGCTCAAACAGATCTGCTATCTCATAATAACAAACATTCACTATACTTAATAATCTCCCAAATTCAATCATAATTTATTCAGATAGATCAATATAAAATTCACTCACAACACAAATAAAAGCAGATGCTGTATGAACAACATGACCATCTTTAATATCAGTCTTCTTCTCAATATCAGAAATACTATCTACTACTAAGACAGAAACTCTTGCAATCTGCATAATATCTAAATGCATACCATCAGATAGTTATATTATCATTCACACAGACAGTCAAGTCACCATACAAGGATACAAAAAGAATATCACTAACTAATATTCTCTCTCATAATAAAAACTCTATCAGCAACTATACTGGCATCTATGAGAAATTTTAGCTCATAATATTCAAACAAAAAACATACACTTAAAAATAAATAAAGTAAAAGATCATTCAGGCAATCCTGATAATGACATAGCTGACAGACTAGCAAAAGAAGGATGCACCCAACTATTAATCACAATCAAATTTCAATATCTACCTTCAACTTAATATTTTCCTATCTTTCACAAGAATCTCTTATAAATACAGTATAATTTAATTTCTTCTTCTACTCTTTTTCTTTTCTCTAATATTAATATTATAATATTTTCTTTTTTCTTCTTTATAAAAACATAAAAAATATCAAAAATATACAAAAATATAACAAAAAATCCAAAAACAAAATTTTCTCTTTAATATTCTTCTCTTTTCATGCTATCATAGCACAAAATATAGATAACTCAAACTCATCAAGCACATCCAAAGTTACTAAATCTTCTGTTCACTTTATTTTTACTATATTTATAATACCAACAGCTTTAGATTTTTCTCAAAAATAAGCTTTCTCTATCTCTTCCAACAATTACAGAACTCTAACTAATCAAAGCAGCTCAAAACACAAATAAAAAAAAATTACAGAAATCATATCAATTTATATTCAAATTCTGATTCAGAAAATCATTACATTATATATAGCATATCCTCACATATGTCATTATTCAAAAATAAATTAAATATCAAGTTGATACATGAATCAGATGACACAATCAGCATGAATCTAAATACCACTGATTACTAATCTAAGATATCAGAAATAAATAACCAATTTCTACCAATCAATTATAACATAACTTCTCAATCCAATCAAAATAATTAATATAACACATATCATTATAATATCACATTAACTAATAATAGTCAATAATGACAAGTCATTACCAGTCATAAAAGATATAATGCATAGATCCAATGCATAGTATTCATAGATAAGAATTAGGAAGAAACTGAAAATATTAATCACAATCAACTAAAATAATATGTTTATAAATACTTATATGAAATTCCAGACTACATCTCTTATAAGATAATAAAAATAAATACACAAAATTATTTTCAAGTATCCTTCAACTCATCTCAAGCTCTTCAAATAGCTCTTACATACATAATCAATAAAAATTATCATTTACTAACTGAAAAATCACAAAATAATATTCAAGAAATTGATATCAACATTATCTCTCTCAGAGATATCTCACTCAACACTCCTAAAAGCTTAATTCACAATATATTTTTACAATTTGACATAGTCAAAGATATTAAATCCAAAATAGCTAACCAATGGCAATATACTATAATCAAATTTGAAGAAAAAGAAGCTGTTGATAAAGCTCTTCAAAATTGGTCAATTCTTCTTGAACAAGATAGCATATAAATCATTCTACTATAAAATTAATATGAAATAGTCAAAAATAGAGATCAATATAAACTTAAACTCACAAATTTACTATATAGATGCATAATATACAAACTCTCTGACTACTTGAACTCAATAAATATCAAAACCTATTATATTTCATGCTTACCAGTAAAATATTAAAGATAATGATATGCCTAAATTACTTTTACATTAGAAACTGATTTAAATATAGTACTAATATTATCAGTTATACTTAGATAATCATATTTAAAATGGGAATAAAGATCAACTATTATTTATAATATATATTTTAAATAGAAATACCATATATCAAAATATTATAACAAAGCAAAATATATCTTTTAATACAAATAACTCAACAAATTATATGAAAATAGAGAAATTTCCTAAAGAAAATCAAATATCAATATAACTTTCAAGTCTTACAAAGATCTCTTATTAGGAGAAAAAAGCTCTAATATCCTAATCACTAATTCATAATAAATCCCTCAATCCTAGAATTAATAAAATCTCAAACTATCACAAAAGCAAAATATTCACAATAATATTAAACTCACATCTAATCAAGATTCTCAACAAATAATAATCAATAATAATAATAATAATAACAATAAACAAGCAACCTCCCTATTCAAACTTCACAAAAATATAGATATACTATCAACATAACTCAATTCTTTACAACTAAAATTTAAATCAATAGAACAAAAACTTAATCAAATACTATTCAAGCTATTATCTCTTACATAAGATCCAAATATAATAAATAAATAACTAATTCCAATAATATCACAACTAAACATAATTAATAATCAATTATTTACAATAATCTTACAATCACAATCTATAGAAAACTTAAACCAAATCATTCATAATCAAGAAAATCAAATCACAGAACTAATCATACTTAATCAGCAACTACAAAAACAATAACAATAACTTCAATCTCAACAACAAATTATAATAAAAAAACTCAACACAATCAAAAATCAAAATATTCATAATGAATAATCTTATAAACTTATCATTCACTTCAACAAACTTATCATAAATAATTCATCTCAATCACACTACAAATATAAACTCTACTATAATAAACTCACCCATAATCTCACAAAATATATCATACACATATTCATCAGATAATAACATAGGCTTCAAACAAATAAATATACTAAGAATCACCACTCTAAATTGTAGAGATCTTAATACAAATAAAAAAATTGAAGATATTTACTTATTAATTCAATTTCATTACATCAATATTATCATTCTTACTGAAATCAAACTTCAATCACACATAGTAAAATACTGCTTTAAAAGTTTTTCAAACTATACTCACATCTGGATATGCAATAATAACTGATCATTTGGCACTGAAATTAGCATTCTACTTTATAATAACTGACACACACATTTATAAAAAACAACCAAACTAGAAGATTGCTTAATTCATATCAAACTTGTCTTCAAACAATCAGTAAATCTCAATATAATAGGATGTTACCTATCAGTAATAAACTATAAACAGGAAAAAAAGATCAAACACAAATTCATGTGATACATAAACAATATAACATCACACAAAAAATATATCATCATAGGAGAAGATTTCAATGAACACTACTTTTAATCACCCAAGCACAGTCTAACTAATTTGCTACTTTTCAAAGAAATAAATGACAGCTTCTATCTTAAATATCTGGGACTATTCAATTACACATGGACAAGATAACAAATATATTACTAACTAAATATAATCTGACACTTACCATCTATCACTAATTATCTCAAGTATGCATCAATAATAGAATAATAATAGATCAAAACAGACCATCTATTAATAATTAATAACTTACATATCATCTTGTTTTACAGAATACTGTAACATATAATCAATTGATATAAAAGAAAAAAATTCATATACAAAGTCAAAAATATCTCAAATCAAATATAACTAGAATATCAATTCTTAACAATAGAGATATTTCAAAAAACAGAATCTAATAACATATCAATCAATTTCTAATGGACCAAAATCAAAAAGTTTATAATACAATCAGCTGACAAAATATTAAAAAAGATAAATATAGCCAATAAAAAAAATATACCAAAAATAATATACATAATATAAAAATAGATCTCTATACTTAACACAATAACTTACTTTTACACACATATTCAAAACCAATAAGAAAAATACATAATCTTAACGTTACTTATCAATAAATATAATAACTCCAAATTAACTTTCTCACTCATATTATTAGATATTCATAAAACAGATTGACTTCAAAAAATAAAATAATAAATCTGATCTTAATCCACTATCTAGCATGTTTCTTTTAATCCCGGCCAGAATTATAATTTTATCATATATCTTTGTTTCACAATATGCAACTATGTAATACTATTTGTATTATTACATTTACACCATTTCATCACATTCTTTGGACCACTTTATATTGGAGTCTGTTGAAATAAAAGAGAAACATTCCTTTATACACCCAGAATAGCCCAAAAAAAGCTTCTTTCGTTTTCACGATGTCTGACGAAACGAACCAATTATCCGAACACGCTTTTAGCGTTACTACTTCCGGAACGTCCTCTTCGTTAGTCAATGATTCAATCTCTGTCACTGCCGTCACAGTCTCAAAGCTTAACAACGAAACATCTTCGCAAGAAGACTCTTCTGACAAACAAGGTCGCAAGAAGCAAAATAAGCAAAACTCGAAAGGCTTACAGAAAAGCGACAGCAAAGACGCGAAAACCAACAAGCCTGTTGCCATTTCCGAAGACAATAACAGCAATGACACAAATGATGATAAGAAAAAAAAAGAGAAAAGACCAAGTAAAAATCGTACATTCTCTAGTGAAAGTTCAGATCAAATTAGGTTCAAAGAAACTGAAGTATTGGACTTAACTGATCCTAAGGGTCAACATCAACGTCGCAAATCAACTGCCAACGCCGCCGAAGTTTCCAACAAGAATAAAAGTAACAATAATGGTAATACAGATAAATCTGCAGCTGTTCATCGCCGTGGTAAATCAGTGGCAAATGTAGGTGAACTTCAGAACTCTTCTTCGAGAGGAGCTGTAAAATCTAGAGGGAGTAAAGATGACTCTGAAAATAAGTCAGAAGCTCTTGAATCACTTCAGCAAATCATTGCTAGCCTTAAGAATTTGCCTGCTCCCCCAAAGCCACAAAAACCTGATAAGAAGGAAGGAGAAGAATCACCAGCTGATGCAGTTTCCAAACATAAAAGGAATGAGTCTAATGTATCTAATAATAATGCTGCTAAGCGCTCAAGTGCAGCTGCCGCAAAACACAAAAAGGGTGCATCCGTATCTTTTTCTTTTCCTCTCACTACATCTGTCACGACTTCATTGAAATCGATTCATGATTCCGAAGATGGTAAACCCATCATGGATATTGAAAATGCTTTGCAAGACACAATATCTTCATTGAGACGGATGAGCCTTGATAAGGGTAAGGCACAACAACAAAAGGATAATGATGTCAAGAAAAAGGATGAAGATGATGACAAGAAAAATTCAAATAACCGCAAATCTCTAGAAGAAATCATGTCTTCTGATAAGCAGAAAGAACCAGAGTCTCCGAGATCTCCTTTTGAATTCAAAAAACCTTTGGAAGACCAATCTCAAAATGCAGCCAAAAAAACTCATCGACGTCATCAATCTCTTGGGCATACATTGTCTGCTGCTGCTTCCTCTAATGCAACTTTAAAAGTACCACCTCCTATTCATCACCGAAGACATAGTGTTGCACTTAATGGAAGCATGGATGTTCTAAAGGAACTTGAAAAAAACCAAGGACGTCCTACAAGTCAAGATGTCAAAGGGCATCGTCGTAGCAATTCCAGAAACTTTGACAGCAACTGGAGAGCAAGTTAGTATAGATGAGATTTTTTTTTGTTAATTACTGAGAAATTATGAGTTATTTTTGGAATTTACATGTTCTATAAAATTATAGATGCATCTCCTGTCACCGTTATAAATAATCCACAATTCCAACCTTTTTCCATGACAAAATTTGGGGTTATTCAAAAGAAACAACCACAAAATCAACAAAATAATAATAATAATCAACAGCAAAGGAAATCTCTATTCACCCCTTATTTACCCCAGGCATCTCTTCCTCAATATCTTAAGAACGGAGAACTTGTGTCTGGTGTTTTGAGAATTAACAAAAGAAATCGATCTGACGCCTATGTAACAACCGAATCTTTGGATGCAGATATTTATATTTGTGGCTCGAAAGATAGAAATCGCGCTTTAGAAGGCGATGTTGTCGCTGTCGAACTTTTAGATCCCGAGAAAGTCTGGCAGACTAAAAAAGAAAAAGAAGAAAAGAAAAGAAAGAAAGAAGAAAGCGCTGGTATTGACAAAAAGAAGGTTGATAAAAAGAAAGACGATGTCGAAGTTGAAGGTCAGGGTTTGTTGCTTTTTGAAGATGATGATATAGTGACTGATGATCAAAGACCAAAATATTGTGGCCATGTTGTTGCTGTTATGGAACGAATGCCAGGACAATTATTCTCTGGGTATTTATTTATTACAATTTATAATGTATATAATTTGATTAAAATAATCCATGCTATTTCTGATTAATTATTAAATTGAATAGCACTTTAGCACTTTTAAGACCTTCATCTACCGCGACAAAAGAAAGAGAAGCAGCAGAGAAAGCTCGCCGTGAAGCAGAAGATAGAGCTGCAGGAATAGAACCGAGATATGAGGAAGCAAAACAAGATAAAAGAGACGACAGAAATGATCGTCCGAAAATTGTTTGGTTTAAGCCGGTATGATTTTTTTTTGTTATTCATTTTAAAATTCAATACGATTTGCTTATATTTTTGAATTTTTAAAAGACTGATAAACGCGTTCCTTTGATTGCAATCCCAACCGAGCAAGCTCCTGTTGATTTTGTAGAGAAACATCAAGCATACGCACAGCAATTATTTGTCGTAAGTATCTACAAATATATGTATTTTTGTTTTTTGGGTTGGGTTATTGTTAAAGGTTATCTTTAAATAAATAGGCTTGCATCAAGCGTTGGCCCATTACATCGCTTCATCCATTTGGTACATTAGTTACTCAAATTGGTGAAATAGGTGGTATTGATGTTGAAACTGAAGCATTGCTTAGAGATAACAATGTATCATCTGACGACTTTAATGAAAACGTTACAAAATGTCTTCCATCTATGCCTTGGAATATTCCTGATAGAGAATTTGAATCACGGCTTGATCTTCGCTCCAATCGAATATTCACAATTGATCCTCTCGATACTAATGACATTGACGATGCTGTATCTTGTACTCGTTTGCCTGATGGAAAATATGAAATAGGCGTGCACATCGCAGATGTTAGTTTCTTTGTAAAACCTAATACTGCTCTTGATCGTGACGCTCGTAAGAGAGCCACGAGTGTTTATTTAGTACAAAAATCAGTGCCTATGTTACCTCCACTGCTTTCTGAACAATTGTGCAGCTTAAATCCTGGAGTTGATAGGTAATATTGAATATAATAATTCAATGATTCTTTTATTTTTATTCATAACAATCTTTATTTTATAGGCTTGCTTTCTCTGTGATTTGGAAAATGAATCCAGATGGAAAAGTATTAGAAACATATTATGGAAGGACAATTATTCGACCTTGTACCAAATTGTCATATGATCATGCCCAAGAGGTCATTGAAGGAAAACCTTTGAATCCAAATGTCAAAATCTATAATGATTTTCCTGCCAAAGAGATCGAAGCCGATATTAAAGTTTTTCATGCAAGTTTCTATTATTTTCTATTAATTTTTGTTGACGTTTCATTTTATTTTTGCTTATTGCGCTCTTCAAAGCTTGCTTTTCCTTAACATATTTAATTTATTATCATATAGGCTTTAGCCCGACGCCTTCGAGAAAATCGATTTAGAAGAGGCGCTTTGTTTTTAAATTCTACCAAACTTGGCTTTGAACTCGATGAAAATAATGAACCAATTGAATGTCATGTTATAGAAAAGAAAGATGCCAACCTTTTAATAGAAGAATTTATGTTACTTGCTAATATGAGCGTTGCACAGAAAATTTCCAGTGCTTTCCCCGAACAAGCGTTGCTAAGACGACATGCAGCTCCTATTGAACGTAGACTCGTAAGAATCTAATAATCTTGAATTGATGTCAAGAATGAATAGGTATTAAGTTCGATATTTTTTTATTATAGAACGATTTTGTTGAGCATGCTAGTAGATTGGGCTGTGAAATTGATTCATCATCTGCTGGTGCGTTGCAAAGATCTTTTGACACTATCGAGGATGGCACTGTTAGAGAGGTATTTATAATCATATATTTTTTAATATTTTAACATTATAATTAATATTTATTTATTTATTTAGGTTCTAAAACTTTTAGCAATAAAACCAATGCAAAAAGCCAAGTATTTCTGTACTGGCACTTTGGATATTGCCAAATATCATCATTATGCCTTAAATACACCATTGTATACACATTTCACTTCCCCTATACGGCGATATGCGGACGTTCTCGTTCATCGCATGCTTGAATCGGCTTTGAATGGCGGTATGGCAAATTGCATTTTTTTTTATTTTTTTTTTTGAATATTATAATTTCATTAAAATGGTCTGCTATTTTTTGTCTATAGAGAAAAGATTCTATCTAGACAAAGATACCGTTCAAAAGACAGCTAATCACTGCAATGTAAAGAAAGATGCGTCAAAGAATGCTCAAGAACAAGGCAGTCACCTCTTTTTATGTGTACTTCTCAACAAGTTAACGGTACAAACGGGTCCCGTCATACGTGAAGCTGTTGTTGTTGGTGTAAAAGATCACGCTTTCGATGTCTTCGTTCGTGTTTTTGGTATTGAGAAACGTGTCCATTTAGACCAGCTACCCCTAGAAAAATTTGAATTTGATATGGTATCAAATGAATTAACGCTCGTATGGAAAGCTGGTGTTAGTTCACTTCAATCCCTCTCCGATGACGACGGTGGCTTTGCAGAAGAGGAAGAGGAGGGGGAAGTTGATGAAGAAGCTTTGCTCGCTGATGTTAACGACGATTATCATTATGAATTAATGGATGTGGCTAGCTTACCTATTGAGGACGAACATAGACTTTTTGATGCTAGTTCTGATATCGGTGAAGACGAGGATGACGAGATTCCTACTTTAGATGTCAACGACGGCTTAACTTCAGTTACTGATGCTCCAAATAATAACAATAATAATGCAACCTCATCCATTTATTCAGTATCTTCTCATATTTCTACTCCGCCGGTCGAAAACTATACAACAGAAAACCCAATGTCAAATCAAATCTCCCAACAACCTAAATTTTCCATTCCCTTCGTCAAAACTTCCGAATTACCTCATATTTCTCTTATTACAGATCCTTCTATTCCTAATTCACAAATAATTCGAGAGTTGGGTCGACTTCAAGTAGTGGTTACGGCTGATTGCAAGAAAAGTCCCCCTGTTATCAAGGTTTTGGCTGTAAATCCATATGCTGCACTTGATAAAACTGGTTAGATTTATTTTTGTCGACGCTTGCTTTTAAATCACAATTTTTTTATAGAATTTATTCAATATTGTGGCTATTTAGATTTATTTATGTATATATAGCTGCATAGAGAGCTTAGTTATTAATTTCACCTTTTTTATTGGTATTTTTCCTTTCGCTATTTTTATGTTAAATTTGATTCCTTTATTCACATCTTTCACTACTATTATTTATTTATGTATTGTTTCATAAGTTTGTATTTATTAAATAATGATATGCAATGAAAAGCTAAAATCATTTAACAAAATAGAAATTTAAAATCTATCTATTATTATATATATTAACTATTATTTATTATCTCTAGAATTTGCAGTATTATTAAGATTTTAAGTTTTTATCGGTAGTTTTTTTTCTATTATTAACAGTTGTAATGTCATTTAATTGGGATGGAGTTTTTAATTGAATTGGGTTCGTCTTTGGAACTACTATTTGTTGCTTTTCTTGAGAATTTTGAAGCGCCATTTTTGCCTATATGTATAAAATTCAATTCATTGAAAGCGCCCTTTTTTTATAAATAATTTTTAAGTTTTAAAAAAAGTATTATCGACTTACCGTTTGCACAGCACTTGAAGTCCACTCTTTAAGGAGAAATTCTGTTTCTTTTGTTTTGAGATGATCTGCCCCTAACTGGAATTATGATTGCAATAAATATGATTGACTACTAATAATGATCCAATTTATAAGTATAAAATTATATTTACAGTTGATAGGAATATTTTATATGCAGATTTTTCAGCATTTAGAGCACCTTTGAAATCTCCCGCCAAGGCTAATGCTTTAGCAAGAATATGATATCTTGAATTCAAAAGATCGATCGTTAAGAGAATCGAAAGGAATTCAGCAAACAAACAAAAATAGATAAAAAAAACACTTACGATTCACCCGTTAAAACATGTTCTTTTCCAAACACACCCTCTTGTGTATCTTTGGCTCTTTGAAAGAATTTGATACTACCTTCAAAATCTCTTAAATTTTGAAGCATAACACCGACATTATTCTTTAAACGCATTATTTTAATATATTTATAATAATGATTATTATTCTATAATTCTCGAACACGAACGAACAAGAAACATTAAAACTTACATCAGCTGTGGCTCCATCAGGATGGAAAAGACCATAAATAATTTCCCAATATTGCATGGCATGTCGCGTATAACATAACCCTAACTCCGTGTGTCCAGCAGCATGTTCAAATAAGCCGAGATGGAGCTTCAAAAATATAATGTATTAATAATTAAATATAATATGTACATATATACATCTTTTGTATACACACATAACTATGGACTGCTTCATAGCTGTCGACTCCACATGTTCTTTCCAAAGACACAACGGCTTTTTTCTGAAATTCGAGTGCAAATTCCAATTCCTCGTTGTGATAAAAAAACATTGCCAAAGCTGAATAACATTTTGCAGTCTCCGGATGCAAGAAGCCATAGCTTTGTTCATACAGCGATAAAGACTGTAATAACAATTCACCACCTGTTTCACGTTGACCTAAAGCCAAAATCAAAGATGAACAACAGCCACAAAATTAATTAAGATGTATTATAGCAAAATTTCCCTTACTTTGTGCTATCATTAATTTACCGGCCTCAAAAGCTTCTTCAGCAAACGTACACTAATAAATCATTAAAATAACCAAATTAAAAAATCAAAATGATGTTTAGTTTCGACTAACGATTATAATACGTATATCAGATAATAAAATACCTTAGTATTTGCTTGTTTGACTGTCGGTAATAAATTCAAGATATCTTCTGGTAAGAAAGTTGTGGGCCTCTTTTTATTTTTCGAGTCTTTTTTGTGTGATTTTTTCTTTGTGAAATGATAAACTTGTGCTATAATTTGTATGCCATTTCTCAGACATATTTCTCGTAATAAAGGAAGCTTTCGAATATCTTTTTCAACAAAGTCTTCTGATAATCGATACCTAAATCGTAATAGAGTTATATCTCGAATTTGCTGAAACAATGATTCTGGTGTCATTTTAAAATAAAGATATCGTCGATGTTCTCCTATTAATTGATCGGTCGGTAATGTTGGTTGTGGTTTTTGATTATATGATGTCCCAAGAAGGCAATTCAAAAAATGTGCTATACAATGCTGTATGGCTACGAGAGGAACATCTCGAAGAAGTTCACGCAATATACGCTTTGTTGACCTGACAATCATTTCGTGTATAGCCAAATGCTGAAGATAATTGATCATAAATATTTGAATGTATTTTTATAAAATATATTTTGTAATTTACCATGTCAAATATGAAAGATTACCTTGATATGTTCCATATTTTTATCTTGTGAATCACTTGCCATTGAAGCTATCACTCCAAGATATCGCATATTTATGCCTCGACGGTGCATGGCTTTTGTAAGTGATGCACCATCAATAGGAGAGGATGAAAAAGTTGCAAACTCCACCATCTAATTTTAGAATAATTCATCAAAGGTAAGACTCGAAACATTTTCATAAATTATGCAATTTTTCGAGGCAAATCTCGCCGGAAATTATTACACAAAATTCAGAGAGTATCATGCATAATACTCCGATATAGCAAACATTTAATACATAGATTACACACCAGAGTGGGGATCATTGTATCTCGTAGAAATTTTGATGCTGACCTCACGTTCTCTTCATCTGCAGCTTTTTTCGCTTCATGCACCTCACCTGCGGGCTGTTTGTAATCCGTGAATGCGTCAGCATTAAGCGCCAAATCAAACCCATCATTTTCTACTTGATCATCGATAAGATTATTTTTTTCCGAACCTTCAAGCTGGTAATTTAAATGTTAATTATTGTTGATACAATTTTATTTAATGTTAGCTATTCTCGCAACTTTTTCTAATACCTCTTGTTTGTTTAATAGTTTCTCTTTTGTCCATGCTCGACATTTATTTTCCCAAAAGAATTCAATCAATTCTGGTCTTAGGAGAGTCAGCTTATGAGGATAAGGAGGAATATCATTTCCTTCTTTTGAAGAGCATTCTTTCTCCTGAAATTCAATGTCAATTGGGTTCAAGCGATATAAGTCGAAAAGATATCGACGTCCATCATCGCCCATCAAGCCCTACATTTGTGTTATTAATAATTACTTCTAGCTCTTATATAAATAAATACAGCAGAGCGAAACAAAGAATATTTTTCCAAATGTACCTTGGTTTCAAGTGAAGTGTATAGGTTAACTGTATTACCTTTAGCATCACTTACACTTGAGATTATATAGTATAAGACGATACTTATTAAATATGGTAAGTCAGGAAAAGAATTACGAATACAAATTACCTATGTTCTGCGATGTGCAATGCTTTGGCTGCTTTTCTAAGTATCTCATGAAATTGTGGATCCGAGCAAAGTCTCGGCTCATCCCTTCCATTATCAAAAAAGCCATAAATAATCGAATCATCTTGACGTCGAAAAATCCCTGTGAATTGTATGCAATTGAAAAGTTTATTCATAGACAGGTGATGACTTTGACTTGTAAATCTTCCCTGCATGAGATACAAACCTGGCACAATCGTTTGAGCTACTATGCGGGTACCTTTATAGTCAACCACAACACAGCCTAATGTATATAATCCTTCAATATCAATTGAATTCATTTTTTTTATTCCTTCCAAATCTTTTCCAGTAGCCACATGTGCGGCATCATTTCCACCGAGCTTTGCGAAATTTCCTCGTGTATCAAAAGCTTTACTAAAGAATATATTATTATAAACATACATATGTTCTTCTTCAGGATCACGAGGATTAAAAGGAACTGCGTTCCCATTTACTACGGCTATAGCTCCTTTAATTGCACTATCAGTGAAATCTGCTTGGATTTTATTGAGTAATCGTTCGCGCAAGACACGATCTTTAAGATCAGTTCGAGGATATTCACGCTGCGTTTGAAATTCATCATTCCAATCACGGAGTGAGTCGACCGCATCAGTTCCATAATTTAAATAAAGTTCATCGGCACGACTTAGATCATGTGTATGTTTTGTTGGTTTCACCACCCAAGAATAAGCAGGTAAGCAATTGTTGACTGGGATCGTTTCAAATACATGGAAACGACTGATATATTCTTGTAAAGACTTAAAATTTCGTTGAAAGCTGGGTGAAATCCTTTGAAGAAGAGTAATTAAAGAATGTGCTTGAAATTTTTCTAATTCTGAGTGAGGATTAGGATCAAAATGTGTGTTTGTTGATTTGTTTATATAAAATCCCTTAGCACACGCAGTAATATGCCGCGTATCTCCTTCGATCGTTGTCACACTTAGATATAATAAGTCGCCTACAAAATAAATTACGTAAGCTTTTAAATCATAAATCATTTACAAAAGCAATCATAATTACCTCGCATTCGTCTTTCAAATGGAACTGGATTCCAGCCAGACAAGTGTAAATTTCCCAAGCATTTTATTGGCATACGCTGAAAGTTATCTGGAATAAATTTTGCAAGGGAAGGATTTCCAAATTCATAGCCAGTAAAAGGGGTTTTTAGTGATTGATCCATCACTGATTCATCTTCCGGTTTTTTTACGCCTTTTCCATTTGTTTGATTTGCGTTGGAAGGTTTTTCTGAGATAACAACAATTATTAGAATATAATTATAGAAGCCGTTTCATTGATTCATGAGCGATTTGTGTTATACCATTGTTTTGAGTTACAGCAGATAAAAAAGATAATCCAGCGTCGAATCCAATGGATGTCGGATCTTGTTTAAAAGGTCCAGCAAGAATTTCTCTCAGATGAATTATGTGAATACGAGCTTCACGCTCAGTATATGCGTCTGGAAAAAAATTAAGATAGTATAAATTGCGTCCGATACAATGAAAGAACAGTCATTCAAGTATGTTACCCTCAACTAAATCAAGTTCACAGTCTTGAGTTATGCCTTCTTCCTGTAATTCCTTATAATCGTTTAATCTCTTGCCCTTCCAAGATAAAAAGAAACACGTATGCGAGAAAGTTTCTGGAGATTCTATTATAAACTGTCGGATCTCTTGGACCAATTCACTAGAATTTGCCTAAGAGATATTTGTTAGTACGTTTTATAAGGGAAAGACGAGTTCTCATGATTTATGTACTTACGAAAACATAAGTTTTCAGCGGAGAATTCGGAAGATTAATTGTTAATTTAAAGCTTGGCTCCTCTACTTCTCCAGTGATTTCTACCTCTGTATCAGACTTATTGGCAGTAACAGTTTTGGATGTATTTGTCGAACTGCTTGAAATAGAACTTTTTTCTGAGACCAATTTTTTATCTATAGCCATCTCTTTTTCTTCCAGGAAGGTCAAAAATTTTCTAAAGAAAATAGTCGAGATCAAAAAATTTCTAAATCACATGGAAGTCACATGTAGAAAGATAAAAGATTCATCTCAAAATGAGTTAAGATCCATCTTTTTTTGATAACGATAATAAATAATTATGACTTTAACACAAGTGACAATAGTGCCGTTTTATACATGTTTATTCGTATTATATTACTTGGTGTTATCCAGACGAGTTATCCTATTGAGACGCAAATATAGGGTTCCTCTTAGTAATGGGTAAATAAAATTGATTAACAATAAGAAAATAAATATTTATATATTTACTGATGTAAAAAAAATAATTAGGACGGTCGAATATTTATCATACATCGAATTGGAACGGGAGAAAGCTGGTTTAATCAGTTATGAGCCTAAAATCAGTAGTCGTAACTTGGATGAGCCAAAATTTCTCGAGCTCCAACGCACTATTCGGACGCATGCCAATTTTTCCGAATATATCCCAATAACGTTATTGTTACTGTTTTTCATCGAGATAAATCGTTATTTATCGCCTCAAATCATTCATATCACTTGCCTGTTTTCTTTGTTAGCAAGGCTGATTCATGCGGAACTTGCATTTGCGCATGGGATGGCTGTAAATACTTGGCGTATTATCGGAATCTCGATAACTTATGCTACACTTCTATTCGCAGCTTTAGTCAACGGATATAATTTTTGGGTTACATGATTATCAATTTTGGTTGGCTTTAATATGCAGTGGTACCAATAGCGATAAATCAATACTTTTGGTTATATATGGATAGAGATCCGGAATTTTTGTGAAAATTATTGACGATTATCTTAAAATATAACGTTGATTATTGTTAAATCTAAATTACAAGGAGGTCAACAGTTGGAAAACGACTCGGGGTCAAAAAAAAAGAATGGGAATTATAACTTAATACTACGTAATACTATTGACCATTGGATTGGGAAATGATTTTTGTAAGGAAGGACGCGTTTATATCATAATTTTTACCTAATCATCATATTAGACAAAAATTGAAATCAAAAATTCTTAATAAATATTATTTTATGGGACCAATCTCGTTAGTTATCCAAATTTTCTATCAACGGATATATCGCGTTTTTTCATTTCCTTCTCTATTATTGTAAAACGGGGTGTTGGTTCTGAAAGGTGTTGTCCCTTTCCATTTTCTGACCAAAGCATCGTTAACTTCATCTGTCAATGTGCGTTGATCACGGCAATAATCCAAAAATTGTAGACGGGCTGCGGGATTTTCGAAATATATGACTTTCTGATATAAAGTCCAGAGGTCTTTTCGATTTGGCTTATATCCTTTTAATACAAGTTTTTCAAGTAATTGCATCGCACTTTCTATATCATTGCACCTGAAATTTAAATAATATAATTAATCTCATAATCAAGTGTAAAAGGAACCGAAATAAGAAAAATAATTAATTACCTTGCTAATGTATTAATCATCCATCGATAAGCTTGATATCGAACTTCGGGTGTTCGCCCTAATTTTTTGAATTCTATTTCCATTTTATAAATCCCCACATTTCCATATTTTGCGCCGATTCTTTTCCACCAACTTTGCCAAGCTTTCCAAATGTTAAAAGCTTCATTATATTTTGCATGATCGTAACATGTTTTCAGCATAGTAATAAATGTCCATCCGGTATATTCCTGATCGAATTCCGCATATTTTTGAGTGAAAATGTCCATTGCTTTATCGAATCCTCCTTTTTTCACGATAACTTTAAGATATGCATCCAGCAAAATAGGAGATATCCTGATTATATCGTCATTATCCATGAAGGAATTGTTATTAGAATTATTTTTTTGTTGTTGAATGACTTCTTGAGCCATCATCACGGCATATTTGAATAACATTTCAACTTCCATAAGCGCTTGTGTTTGTGTGTAAGGTTCATAAGGTAGAAATGGAAATGCGTCTTCTTGAGATATCAAATTGTTATCAATTTTGCCAGTCGATGTTATTTCATTATTATTATTATCATTACTACTAATATTATGTTTATGTTTATTATTATCATCATCATCATCATCATTGTTGTTGTTGTTGTTGTTATTATTTAAAATTGGTGTTTTTATGGTGTCTGATTCAAAGGACTTTCTTATTGGTTCTTCTGGTCGATAACTAGCATATACCCAAAACAAGTTCACAAAAGTAACGACCGTCGGCGCTAATAAAGGTTTATCTTTCGCGCTAATGTAATAATGAGAAATAACGCATAAATTAAAAAACATCATCGACATAAATTTTTTCAAAACAGCATACCTCTCAATCATTATCTTTGCTAGTTTTCTAGCAGCTTTTAAATTAATAGTCTTTGAACATGCGTATATTAAGGTGTTATAAGTAATTCTGTCAGGTTGAAATCCCTGTTCTTGCATTTGCTCCAATAAATTAAACGCCTCGTTAAAATAATGTATCAAGATGAAAATGTCATTAACGTTAAGGAATAATTAGGAATAAGAAACAATAAATATAAAATAGCATTAAGGATATCTTTTCGTAATGCACAAGCATTAAGTAATGAATTATAGGTCACATCCGTTGGATATAACTTTTTCTCAGTCATTTCCTGAACTAAATCAAAAGCTCGCTCTACTTCTTGAGTCTTTTAGGACAATTTGACACAGAACATTATTAATGGGTTACTATTGTTATTATTTAAGATGTATAATAATTACCTTTGCACAGGCATGGATCATTAGACTGTATGTTACTTCATCGGGTTGACAAACTTCCAGTCTCATATAATCAAATGTTTTCCAAGCGAGTGCAATATCTCCCTTATCAACGCAACCTTTGATAAGTGCTGTGAAAACAGCCTATAAACCAAAAAGTGCTAGAAATTAATACGTTCTTTAAAAAATTGGCGTAAAAGCATTAGTATAAATATAAATAACCTGCGAAGGAATCAATCCGGCACTCTTTATTTTCTCATACACTTCAAAAGCTTCATTGAGACGGAGCTCGTTACAATAAGCTTTTATTAAATTTTGATAAGAATGTATTGATGGTTTTAATCCGGCTATGGAAATTAAGATTAAGCAAATTTGAATATCTGTCATATAATAAATAAGCGATATCTAATTTTAATAACTCACCTGATTCAATTAGATTAAATGTTGATATCGCTTTCTCTACATTTCGAACATTCGCATATAGATTAATTAGAGTATCGTATGTGATAATATCAGGTAGAATTTCAGCTTTCTATAAAAAGCTTTTATTAAAGAATGCTATATTTAAATGCTACAAAAAAGCAAAATATAAATTTTTTACCTCCATCAAGTGTAATGTATTCTCTGCATCTTGTATGTTTTTTGATTTTAACTATATTGCATAAAGAACAAATTTTTATTAATTCGGACAGGACTTCTTATTATGTAATTAAAAAAACTACACTTACACAATTTCCAAGCAAACGATTAAACTCATATATATTTAGAGTCAATCTATTTTGAAGAGCACCAACTGAATTATCTGATTTGGCTTCATTTAACATGGATTTGACATCCTCAATTGATAAATGAGCATCCGATGATTGATTGTCTTTTATGCGCGTATCTAAAAATGGGATTCCCAATTTTGAATTTGCAACGGGTGAACTCGGCTTTGATTTTTCTTCCAAAGAAAGAAGTTTGTTTTTATTTTGGGTCAAGAAATCAGGCGCGGAAATTGCTTCATAAATTCGAGTGTAATCAATTTCAGAAAATGGAGTATAGTGCGTCTAACTTCACATAAAGTGAATAATAACAACAGATTAATCATTAAATAAAAGTCAATGTCAATTAATTAAATTAATTTTCTCTTTTATTAAAGTGACTTGTAGATAAAAGAGTAAAATACCTGTGATAATTTCTGTTTATCATGAGCATCTATTTTTTCTTCTAGTTCTTTAATCTCTTTGGTTAAAAGTGAGGTAATTTCTTTTAGGCCTCTAGAGTAAGAACAAATGAATAATGGTATTATCCTTGAAAAATAAAAATTTATTATTATGAATGTATACTTTTTAGTTGTATAACTACGGGACTTAAAGAGATTCAGTCCTAAAGGAATCCTCGAAGATATTTTTTTAGAGCGAATTCCAGAATTTGCAAAGAAAATGCGGCAAGAACATAAACTTTTCTGAAAAGTAGCCATTTTAGACGCCAAATTTTATTTCAATTAAGTCAAATGAGTCATAATTACCGTATAACACTGCTTAAAGTACCCCTATTGAAATTTAAGTTGGTCCTTTTTTTGAAGTTCTAGGAAAAGCTTTTGTAAAATTAAATGAAGAGGTTTTTACAGGGGAGGGGTAATTTAAGCAGTGCTACACGGTATATTCGTGGAAATTAATGTTATATTTTTTTATTACCAGTGTAGAATTCACTACCAGTATTATTATTACGTGCAAATTAATTAATTAAAATGATTAATGTTCGGAAAATTAAGTTTAAGATAAAAAAAAAGAGGAATTTGATATAGTGAATACTACTAAATCATTAGTTATATTTACGATTTAGATTCTTGATTTTCCGATTCATTTTTAGTTTGTTGAGCGGTAGTAGCAACTGTAGTAGCAGAAGTTCTCATAGCCAATTGCCCATTTAGCTCTTCAACTTCTTTCATGAGGCGACTTTTTTCTTCAATTCGCATCGCACCTAAGGTCATCTTGGTTTTCAATTCCTCGAGTTCTTTTCGAAGAACAATATTTTCCTCTTCGAGACGATTAACTTTTTCTTCGAGATCAGCCACATATGCTTTCTTTTTACGGCGGCATTCTTTAGCAGCTACACGATTACGAAGTAATCTTCGTTGTCGACGTTCATCGTTACTCATATTTCGTAGTTGTGTATTTCTTTTAGTAGTGCCCGAATCTTGAATTATTTCACCAGCTTGTGGTGATGGTGTTATTTGTTGTTGTTGTGATGTTGGTGGTGGTTGTGATTGTAAATGCTGTTGCTGTTGCTGTTGCTGCTGCTGCTGCTGCTGTTGTAATTGTTGTTGCTCTTGAGCTTGAGCGGCGGCGGCAGCAAGAGCAGGGTGATTCAAAAATTCTTCGACATTTGCGTGAATTCCAGTTGTATTTGATGAACCATTAGTTACAATGGCAGCAGCTTGACCATTAAGTAAAGGGGCCACTGCAATTGGAGAGGTTATTTGATTAGCTAAACTTGTGGCAGCGGATAAAACTTCAGCGAATTGTTGTTGATTGCTTAGAGCCTGTTGAGCAGCAGTTACTGAATTCACTGCTGCTCCCTCGACAATATGATTATTGGAATTAGTAGTAGCAGTGGATACGTTTGAGAGAAGAACTGCCGCGTTAGCAGCAAGTGCGTTTATATTCGAGTTTTTTCCATTATATGCTATTGTCTTTTGGTTTACTGATTCCGAAGAATTTAATTCACCACCAATTTCAGTTCCTCTTTTCTTTGTATCTTTTCGTTTAGCGTCGCCTTGTCGAGCTCCGCCAGCAGGTAATGCACGTTTTAAACCGCTCCGTGTTGTCATTGTTGGTTCAGAGTCACTGCATTCAGTGACCGAACTGTCGTCGTCAGTTTCAGTGACTGTTGACTTTTCGTCATCCAACACCCGAGTTTGGTGCGTCAAAAGTACGTCTTGAGTCATTTTGTTGTTTATTCAATTTAAGCAAGTAAACTTTCGGAAGGAACTACCACTCTTGGCACAACTTTCTCTAACAAACCAACAATTTTAAAAAAAGTAAATGGTGAATTCGTGCTCGAAACTAATTACGAATGTTTATTTCTACAATTAATGAAATTTTCAATGATTAGTTAATAAAAAATCGGATATTATAATAAAGTCAAAAACTTAAGAATTAATTGTTTAATTAATGAAAGTCGAAATTTTTTTAAACGAGATAAACTTTCGTGTAGAAGAACAAAAGACCGTTTTTTTTTTAATAAAAAAATCGCGTTTCGTCAACCTTTATTATTTTTGTTGGACGACGTTGCTCTTTTTGTGACGACAAAGGTGAGTGACGGCAGCAAAAAAAGGAACGAAGAGATGACGCTGCTTACTGATTATATTTGTAGGGGGAGAACGAAGAATAGGGTTACCGCCCTTTTTTTTTTTCTAAATGACATCAGCCTTACGCATAGTTGCACCAATCAGAATAATTTAAAAATGCATCATTGTTGACAAATTTCGCTGATGAATCAAATCGTGTTACCCTATAAGTTACAAGAATTGGAATTTTAACTATTTTCTCACGCTTGCGAGTTTTACGCGGAAAACGCGAGTTTACCTTTCCACCTTAAGAATGTTTCGCTCTTTAACCTCCAAATCATTATCTAAAGTCCCTAAACACGGGATTAAGGTAATTTCCAAGTATTATTAATAATACACTGTGAATGTTTGATACGAATTACCATCAACTTTATTTTTTAAAAGAATTTTCAAGGATTATTTGCTTCAAATTTACGAAATGCTTCTAGTTATAATGCTCATGTGGCAGGCTTAACAGAAGAACAAAATGAGGTATTTCCTCTTTTATTTCAAAAGACTTCCCTAGCCTTTCTTAGTAAAGCGCCAAATTTCGTTAAAAGTTTCGTGAAACCGTCGAAGCCTTTTGTAAAAAAGAATTAGCGCCACGTGCAGCCTCCATCGATAAAGAAAACGAGTTTCCTATGGTAAATGATATGACGCTTTATAAATATGACTATAATAATAAAATTCTTTTAATTTTAAATATAGGATATGTGGAAGAAATTCGGTGATATGGGTCTTTTGGGTATAACTGCCCCGGAAAAATACGGTGGATTGCAAAAAGGTTACTTCGAACATATTATAATAATGGAAGAAATCTCACGCGCTTCCGGGTCAGTTGCTCTTTCTTATGGTGCACACTCGAACTTGTGTGTAAATCAAATTGTGCGAAATGGGAACGAGAAACAAAAAGAAAAATATTTACCAAAGGTCATTTATTTTATTTGATTATTCATGATAATTTTATTCTAGTATATTTATGGATATTTTTTATTTTTTAGCTTATTTCAGGTGAATATGTGGGTGCGTTGGCAATGTCAGAACCAAATGCTGGCTCTGATGTCATGTCCATGCGCTGTCGCGCCGAAAATAAAGGTGATCATTATGTGCTTAATGGGAATAAGATGTGGATTACCAATGGGCCAGATGCAAATGTGCTGGTAGTATATGCAAATACAAGCATGGATGCAGGCTCTAAAAGAATAACCGCATTTCTTGTTGAAAAGGTAAAAGAAATCAAATGTGCTAAATACAACATGAAATTATAACTGATTCTTTTGTATTTATAAGGGATTTGAAGGATTTTCAACAGCGCAAAAACTTGATAAATTGGGGATGCGAGGCTCAAATACATGTGAGCTTGTATTTGAAAACTGCAAAGTTCCAGGTGTGTGCTCTCTGAAAGTGTATGGTAGATCCTGAGTCATTTCTTTGAAAATATGGTTTTGCTCTAATATTATAAATTATAGAAATTTTTTTCCATTGATAGCTGAAAATGTGCTTGGATCTGAAGGAAAAGGCGCATATGTTTTAATGAGTGGATTGGATCTAGAACGATTAATCCTTTCTGGAGGGCCATTAGGGTAAAGTTCATTATGAATTTATTATTATAATAGCTTTATATTTCTTCAAGATTACAGCAAATTACATAATTTTCTAATTAACAAGACTTATGCAAGCGTCATTAGATGTTGTTTTACCATATGTACACACTCGTAAACAATTTGACACGCCTATCGGTCATTTCCAACTAATTAAAGGAAAGCTGGCCGATATGTACACAAAATTGAACGCATCGAGAGCTTATGCTTATTCGGTGGCCCGTGCTTGCGATAAAGGACATGTTTCGAATCGGGTATTTCATCAATTAATTAGGAGAAGCGGGTACACAGGACCCTGATCATTATCACACATTTGCATATGAAACTTATATGTCAAGTGACTTAAAATTAGGATTGTGCTGGTGTTATACTTTACGCGGCGGAACGTGCCACAGAAGTGGCTTTGGATGCTATTCAATGTTTGGGTGCTAACGGATATATTAACGATTGTGAGTATAACCTTATGAACAACATTTGTATTTATTTGACTAAAATAAACTTCATTCTCTTTAGATCCAACTGGACGTCTTTTGAGAGATGCTAAATTGTATGAAATTGGTGCTGGTACAAGTGAGATTAGGAGATTAATCATTGCTAGGTAAACCTTTTTTTAAAATATGCGAATATGCATCCCAAACTCTAACCCTTTCTAATTCATTTTCCTCCTCCATAGAGAGTTTAATAGAGAGTATCAAAATGTTGAGTAGAATTTATAGAAACCATTTACTTATTATTTATAATACTTAAATTAAATATCAAATTAGATCCAGAATTTTGTTGTCAAGATTCTTTTATTTTAAGATCTTGTGCTTTTTTAATTACAATGATAAAAAAAAACTAAAAATACATTGCTTTAGAAAACAGTTCACCGTGATATAAAAAAAGTATTCCAATTCTTATATAATAGAAAATAGCATATAAAAAGTAAATGCAACATTCTCTGTTCCGTTCTTTAAGCCCGGAAAGTATCGAGCAAACTAAAATCTATTGATAGACTTTCGCACCACTTCATACACACAAAACATAATCAATTAATTAAATGCGCAATTATACCTTTTTTTTTTGAATTGAAAATGACAAATCTTTCATTTTTTTGATGCTAACCCATCAACTTTATTTTCAAGTTCTGCAAGCTTTTCCTTCTGCTTTCGAAGCTCGTCTTGTAAAATCTTTATTTTTTCAATATCCTAAACCAAGAAAAAAGAGATCAATCACACAATCAAACCTATCTGATATATACCAAAAAATAAACTAACTAATAAAAAAATATTACATGAGCACGAAAATATTGATCCTCGATAGCCTTTTCCTTTTTACTGAACGCAGTATCCGCTTCACGAATCACTCCCTCGTTTCGACCACCGCTACTCATTAGTCTTGTTGTGGCGGAGGTTAGCAACGGAAGGTGGTTGAAAGAGTTGACCAGTGAACGAGTACGAATAAGAGCGCTACTTTTATTGACGGAATTCGAGACAAGGTGTGACAATCTAACTGAAGTAAGAAGTGGTTGCATGGTTATTTAACTTCGATTATTTATTTAGACTTGAGCAAGTATCTTTTATATTTCTTTTATGAACACGCTGATAATTATTTTACCAAATAAACATGACATGATGAAGATGATCAGGTTATTTTTTTTTGATTTTATTGGATGACAATATTAACTTTTGTTAAATTGTTCATCGTTGCGTGATTTTTTTTATTCATCATCACAAAATACATATAGCATTGTATCGTGTTAATGTCACGAGTTGTGTGTTGATTCCGAATCAATCTAGGTTGTTGATCCAGGATTCATAATATGTACTTTTGACTATTAGCTAAATGGTTAAATGTAAAAATTTTTGATTCTATAATTTCAATAATTTAAAATTGATCATCCAATAATTCTAAATCGACACAAAGTTGAATTGAAATCCTGGGATTGATTCGGAATCAACACACATTCCGTTCCCAACTTATATTGCTTCGCGTTATTTGTCGCTTTGCGCGTTTCAAATTTAAGCGTGGCTGAACAAGCAGAATTTGAACATCTAATTTCAATCTTGAAAATGGAATTTATTGACTAGAACGAAATCTGACTTTTCCATTTCTTTACTAGCATTAATCTGGTACCTCGGGAACTAAATTAATAACTAAACGAATTTGGTATGCAAATAGTTCTCATAAAGAAATTAGGTCAAATCCTTTTCATTAAAAATATTCATGTAGATCCTTTTAGACATTCTCTAGGTTATTAGCTTTAAAATGAGCATAGGAACCAGATACATTTAATCGATGTTAGAGGCACTAGATTTTTTTTTTCGTAAAACTTTTCATTTTTCGTTTCATTTGCGAGACACTGTACATAAGCTTGGAATAAATTATTTATTAATTTTCATCCTCATCATCAGAAACAATTTCTTCAGTTTCTTCTACAACTTCTTCAATCCATTCTTCGATAACCTCCACATTTTCAGTATCACGTATCGAAACAGGTGGCAATCCTGCTGCCTGTCTTTCCTCGATCAATTCTTTTTCTACACGCTTGCGCCATGCATTCCATTCATCCACAAGGCGACGACGGTGTGCAAGTAATTCTTTAGATACTGAAGATTTTTCACGTGCATCCTCCTCATCAAATACTTTGGAATATTTGCTCAGATTCTTTCTTATTTTCTTCATGGCCTCTTGCGATAATAGTGTTTTTGGTCGAGGACGCCAAACCAATTGTTTGAATTTATCCAAGAGATGCTTTTGAAGTTGACTACCTTTGAAATCCCATAAAGTATATCCATTTTCCATCTAAAAGATTGTTATTTTAATTTACATTATGGACATATAGGATCTATTAGCTACTTTATAGAAATTGTTAGATACTCACTGAATGTCGCCACATGCTAGCACTTGTAATAACATATCTACCAGTAGGATCCCATTCGATATCAGTCACTCCAAAGTGTTCTTGTGTACTCATAAGCTGAAGTGATGCTCCGGGATCTAGTTTAGCTTTTTCTTTTTGTTCAATTCCACCCTCAAAATCCAGGTCATAAAATTCTAAGTCGTAAGTAGATGTAGAGCGTAATGTTGCAAGTATCACATGACGTCCCCGAGGAGACCAGAAAATTGAATTTGCTGTTTTTTTCTCGAGTGTTTCTATATTCATAAAGTTAATTTAGGTTATTATTATAATAATTCGACATCACACAAACTATAAACTCACTTATAAGCTTGAAACTAGCATTCTCTGCTCCTTTTCCAGCTTTTGCCTTCTCCAAATAATAGAAAGATATGCTTGTTCTTAAAGTAGCATTGCCAGCAGGTTGTCCGAAATTAGGATCGTTAGTAGTCACAATAGCAAATCGCTCCCCTTTAGGTTCCCATGCAAATGCAATAACTGTGTCTAATGTAGAAAAAAGAAAAATATTTGTTATTTAGTCTAATTAGAAAATGGTATGACAACATTAATAGAATTACCTTTAATTTCAATGACTTCTACAGGAATATCTTTTTCTCTGACTCGAAATATTTCAAGATTGGCAAAAGTTGATTTTTTTGTTTTTGTATGTCGATCGACTTTGACACATAGAAAGTCTCCATTTGATTGCCAATGCATCTTGCACTGGGAAAAACGAAGCAAAATAACAGAAGTTAAACATCCATTCTAAATTATTATCCAACCAGATAACGATGTAATAAATTAAAAAAAAAAGATGCATACATCCGAGACACTAAACAAATTTTTAGTCCTTAAAATTTCCTTTGATGGAATTTGCATTAACGTGACACGAGCTGGTTGATTACCGATTTCCGGAGTCCAGAAACTCATGAGGTCTTCGCGTACTTTTTTATCATTCTGTTTATCACGATCTTTATCCGAAGCAGGAGCCCATTCGAAATCAACTACTCCTTCAATTTTTATACTCTTTTTCCCAACAAGGCCCATTCCCGGCGTTTCATAGACAGAAATTTGTTGACCGGGAGAAACACGAGCGAAATATTTGTCGGTTGGTGACCATTTAAACATTGGCCATGTGATCTTGTTGGGAACACCATCTGGTGAGGTAGGAGAAGGAAATGATCGAAGAAGTGTCCCTGAATGCACATCCCAAATTATCGTTTGATTGCCTTCATCCTCAGGCCCAAATGGTGATCCAGTGCCTCCATTCTGATTAAGGGTGATTGGCTCGTTACTCCATGTTACCAAATAACGCTCATTTGGCGAAAAGTCGATTAATTTAACGCCAGGGTGAACAAAACGTATAATTTTATTCCAACTTGCACCACCCCATAATACAATACCCTGTCGATGAAATGTTGCAAGATACGTGCCTAAAGGAGACCATTGAACATACGTCTCTGTCCAATTCTAATGAAGGATGTGGAATTTAATTTTGAATCTCTTAACAAACGCATAATTCTAAACTCACATTTCTTTTGTGAACTTCTTCTGGAGGTTCAGTTTTTCTATTCCAATAAATATAAACATCATCGCCACGATAAAGAACAAATTGATCACGAGCTTGGGGGTCAGTAAGCCAGCTTCTTAAATGTTCCTACAACAAGAAACAAACGATTGAGAAAATTATCTAATAAGCAAGTATAAACAGGACTATTTTAAATCGTAACTTACTTTTTCTACGAATTTTTCTTCCTCAGGTTCAACATATGTGTCTTGAATCTGCGAATATTTTTCAATATCGGTAAATCTATTTACAGCAAGAACATGATTTTTATCCATGGGATAATTATCAAGCTGCTTTACGGCTAAATTGGCTTGTTCTGGCGTTTCGAACTCAATAAAAAGATATCTAGTTGGAAAAAATTAAGTATAGAATTAATCTAAACATCTTAAAAATCAACTAAGGCATTCTTAAGAACATAAGTTTTCTGTTAGAAAACTTTTACTTGAAAGAAAGCACGTGACTAAAGTCTAATGCGTAACATGGAACTTACCCTTTGGAAGTTAACTTTTCCGTTTCAGGATCCACTTCCATTGGCATATTAATTCCACCTTCTTTAATGTCGCCAGCTTGCTTGAAAATTTTTGTGATAAATTTGAAAAGTTTATCTTTTTTACTTTCGTCCACTATAGGTACATTATCAACGACTATGATTGTGTCAAAGCCTTCTTCAAATGGAACTTGATATTTCTCTTCGATATCGGTAAAGTCTAGTTCTTCCTCAGTCTCAGGCAGCTTGTTAATGTCAAATCCTGGCATCTTGATTGAAGTCACTTATAGCGATTAACACGAACTGGTAATTCTAATAAAAAAAAAGCTTCGTGAATTCAAGTTTTCCGCAGTAAAGTCAAATTCTCGTGATATTCACGTGAGAAATTTCTCCTTTGCCCAATAAGATTTCGTGAATTTATAATTATGATATTTAAACAACATTTATGATTGTTTCTTTTCTCATTTCAATTCAAATCAACGACAATCATCAATAAAATTGTTTTGAAAACAGAGAATATGACCAGACCGAAAACTCAAACTAATCATACAAACAACATGTCGCAAGCAAGCTCCTCTTCTTCTAGCTCGTCAAACTCGTCAAACGGGTCTCCGAACAATTTATCAAGTACAGCTCAGTCGCAATTGTTTAGCTTCCAGGACAATGAAAAAGTGTTATGTTATCACGGTCCTATGTTATATACCGCTACTGTGCGTGTTTTTTATGTTGTTTCTTTGCTAGACTCTGAAACTCTGGTGACTGGTCATCTAAAAGACCAAAAAATTTGACTTGAGATATAACTGTGTTTCTAACGTTATGTTACACAACTCAATTTTCATTAGGTAAAAGAGATAAATTCTCAATATGTAGACGCCTCTGGCGAAGCAGGACTTTATTATAAAATACATTATCACGGATGGAATTCCAGGTTTGTACTCGATATGAAATATTCTTGTTTAATATATTTTTTATATTAAAATAAAATCTTTACAGATCGGACGAATGGGTCCCTCAAAATCGAATTTTAAAAATGAACGAAGAAAATATTAGTTTACAGAATATTCTTCAGGAAGAGTTAAAAAATAGACCTTCCGCCGTTGCTGCACGAGCCAATGCTACTGCTAATCAACAAGAAGTTAATAATATAGCTAATACAACAACAGTCCATATGGAGGTGGATGTAGTAGATAACTCAAATAAAGACTCATTATTAGAAAATGACACTTCCAATACAGAACTTACTTCGCCACTCGTTGCTGCGGCAACCAATAACAAGAATGTTACAGATGAAAATAATCACCAGAGCACAAATAATCAAGTTATTAAAGACGCTCGACCACACAAAACCAATGGAACATATAAAGAAACTACAACGACAGCAAATTTTGCCGTTACAGATAATAATAATATTAACGGAAATAATTCAACAACAAAAACGATACCAAAACCTATAAAAACGTCGGAAACTCCGCCTGCACCACCTCATTTATCAACGAAGGACAAAAAAACTATACCGGAAGACGGGATTACCAAATCCACTAGATCAAAAGCTAAAGCTAAATTTAACAATTCTTCAACTTTGGTTAATAATAATAATGCGACGACGACGACGACGAATAGCAACGCTGTGGGCCTCACTAACTCTAAGGATAATGATAATAGCAATAATACAATAACAGCATCAACATCAGCATCAACAGCATTATTATCATCATCATCATCATCAACAACATCATCATCATCATCATCATCATCAATACCAAAGATTAATGGAACTACGTCTACCGCTACAGCCCCAACACCGACGACAAGTAACAGGGGGAGGAAAAGGAAGCAGCCAATTGACGATGCCACAACTACGGCAATTGCGTCCACCTCAAAAGCAGCTGCTTCAACATCTACAAGAGTTAATGGAAATGCAACTACAAGTGCGACCGTCAATAATCCCCAGGTTTATTATCATTTTCTTATTTTTCCTAGTAGATTTTAGGAAATATGAAAGTTTAATCATTTTATCATTGAAAATCAGAAGAAACCCAAAAAGAATAAAATCACTGTCGATGTTAATGACGATTTAAAGGTTAAATTAATAGATGACTGGGAATGGATCACTTCTCAGTATCAGGTATTTTATCATATATATATTTATATTCTTAGCTTACCTGATCCGATGCAAATAATATTTTTTCAATTATAGCTTTTACCTTTACCAAGAACCAAGACTGTTGAAATTATCTTAGAAGATTACCATAATCATAAAATTGAAGAAAATAAAAAATCTAAAGAAACCAATGGAGTTCGTCATCGCGGACGAGGACGTCCTGCCAAAAATCCTCAGGAAGAAATTCTTCGTGAAAATTTAGCCAGTGTCAAATCATTATTCAACGAAGTACTAGGTACTCAACTCTTATACCGAGCTGAAAGACAGCAATACTTCGACTTCAGAGCGGCAAATGGTGGTGTAGACTGTTCAGCTTATTATGGAGCCGAACATCTAATGAGATTATTAGGTATAGTGTCGTTTCCGCTTAAATGCTCAGCTATAATTTAGAAATGAAGGTTAAATTTTTTACCACAATTATTACTTCTATAGTCATACTTCCACGTATTGTTGAAACGACGGATATGCGTGAGGTCAAAGCAGAACAATTACGAGATATATGTCAAGAGTTAATCAGGTAATTATTTGTTTTCTGTAATTGTTATGCATTCATTATATGATAGCTTATCCCTCTATTATTAAAAAATAGCTTTTTGGGGGATCGGACTGATGTGTACTTCTCGGAAATATACGACAATGCACCACCGGTTTACATTCGACTCTCGGAGAACTTTTAAGAGAAGGGTAAATAATGTAAATAATGAATGCTTTTCTAAGTTTTTTTGTTTTTTTTTCACCGTATTCTATTAATATGAAAAATACCGAAATAAAACTTTACATATGAATAGGCTCTTGTCTCGTGTTCGGTAGCAACGAATTATCATGTGGTTGTGAAGTTGGATGTTGATATTAATAATAATTATTATTTTAAGTAGGTTTTTGTTGAAATTTGAAATTCTATAAATTTGAATCTAAATTTCAGATTTACCATTTGAACGAGGTAGATAAAGAGAAAAGCACAATCATTGTACATATAATTTGCACTTTTTAGTGCGTGTAAAAAAAATTTCAAAACATTAAATTTAGTATTTACTTAGTAATATTCGCATTATTTTTTTGTTTTAGCTTTGTAGAATTCTAAGCATACATATAGGCATAATATACTGCCAAGCAAATGAACATCGTCCAAATAACCAATTCAACCAATCAAAATTATGTGCAATTTCTTTAGTACTACCAAGCAACAATGCCTGCTTTGGTATATCTATATTATCATTTTTTGTGTACACAATTCGACAGTTTTTTCAATTTCTTCGCGTAGAATTTTGACAGCGCCCAACCAGTTCTCATACTCTTTTGCTTCACCGTAGGTTATCACCCGAAATGGAACATTACCAGCAGTTATACCCATCAATCTGATGCCTCGAAATTGTTCTCGTAATTTGATTTGAATTTTCTATTTTAATGATAATTAATAATCAATGATATCAATAATAACAAATAATATTTTAATATTTTTCATATTCACACGCTTACTTCAATCAAATTACGATATTCCTCGGAATATTCGTTAAATGTGTCAATTTGTTGTTTCACTTCTATTTTTGTGGGTTTCATATCAACATTATCACCACCAGCGCCCATTCCTATTTCCTTAGCCGCTTCTGTTGTTGTCGCTACTGTTGTGAGTTCAGATTCTTCTTGTTGTTTAATATGACCATCGAGACTTAGACCCATTATTGCTTTGCCTGAGATGCTTAACAGTTTTACAATCAACTTTTTTTTCATATTATTGTGAAATACATCATTTGGTGAATATTTGAGATATAAACTCAATAAAGTCGGATAAATTGATTTTTTTTTCTTTTCTGTGATAATAATATTACTTGTTCTATTTCTTCGAGCTCTCGAATTCTTCGTGCACTTTCTGATTCATCACGATCCGTTAGGGATTCTAATTCTGTGTTTTTAGAGATTTCCTCCATCTCTAAGAGGCAAAATTCGTCGTCGTTTTGCTAATTTTTCGCTGCAACATGACATCATGTAAACTTTCACAAATATTCCAGAATTATATAATGATAAACACAAATAACATTTTGAACTTTGTTCAAATTTGTAACTCAAAATAAAAATTTAACATTTGTCATTCAAATTTTATAACTTGTAATGATGTAGATGGTACGATACATAGTATTTTTGAGTTGCAACCTCATTTATAGGTGACATATGTTTGCGATTCATGTTTAGATAGCATTCATTCACCGAGGTCTCGTACTTTGCGATGCGTAGAAATTACCCTACTTCACTCGTAGGGATCAATATGTGATATAATAACTTGGCTAGTGTATGCCACACATGTTATGAGCTCTAGCACGATATGACATCGCTGTCTTGCAAGACGTATTAAAATGAGACATTAGATATCTCATGGTTACTTATTTTGCTGAACAACGATAATCTAATTTAAAAACAGCTTAGCATTTATTTATAGATTGCTAATAATACACATGTTTAAATGTTATTTTAGAACTAATCACTTAATTAAAACCCAAAAAACCGTGTGATGACTGATGACTATATTAATTTTGATGGTATTTTTTTTTGTTGTAAAAGGGTAATAATCTCCAACGAATTGTTTTACGATTTTGTTCATTTATAGATTGCGCGGGAAAAACGTTACAAAAGAGACGGTTTTGTGATTTTAACTTTTTGACTTATTGACAAATTTCATAAACACATTACTAATTGATATAATAATAGTATTAAGTAAAGAAAAAAATCGGATCATCTATATAAAATTAGAAGAACGAAAAGCATGGGGTCGACAATTACAAAGCAGAATTAAATAAGCATTGAGTGTTTATTTTAAAAAAATGTCAATGTAATTGATATTTGGCTAGTTATTATACATGAAGTAAAATATATATATAATATCAATTCCGACACGGAATGAAGTTGAATTAATTTTTTTGGTTCTTCAAAACATTAATATTATCAATATCCAACTCTTTTAACTTTGAAATGTTTTGAATCTTATTCTTCCCAATATTAATTAAGAAGGCATAAAGCTTTCGTGATCTCTTTACTGTTTCTTACCAAAAAATAAATAACTAATTCTTTACATATATTATATGTGTTTCGAGAGAATTCTTATTTACATTTAAATCAGATCAATCAGATATTTCGGAAATAAAGCTTGAATAAATAAAACTAGTGATGAGTGATACCATAATATCGTCATTAGAAACGTTATCGCTAAATCGAATAAAAGTTAACTCGACATTCATACAAATATTTTTATTAATCAAAATTGTATGCAGTCATTTATTTTGGACAACTGGAATATAAAATTTAAATTTTAATTCTATTTGTTGAGCATTGAGTGCATAAATGGTTTTTCGTTGAATTATTTCAATGGCTTCAAGTAGATAATCGATAATTTCGTAATTGTTAACTCGAATAATTCAGACTGAATTCTCAATTGACTTCACACTTGAGATCTCACAAGTCGTGATATAAAATTTAAACTTCTTTATCGCGCGGTAACCGTGACGGTTTTGAAAATACAAAATTCCGTGAGCTTTCTTTTGGTGGAAATAACAAACCGAAAAATCAACGTTCTGATTGACATAGCCAGTAAATTAAGAAGGAATTGAACCTTCGCCTCAGAAGAGACTAGCCATACGGGAACTTCTGATGAAAAGAAAAAGCGAGAAGAACCACCCGGGAGGAACCGAACCTCCACTCTAAAGAACCCCATCCATACAAACCCCCCCCAAGTATAGCATCGACTAACCTAGTGTTCGAATCAAACTCCCGAGTATCGTAAAGAAAATGAATTATAAACCATATGTTCCACTAAGGGTTGAGTTATCTTCAATTAAGAATGGTTCCAACTCAACCCATACGGCAGAACTATAGAGGGTTAAACATCGATCCAACGGGTCTCCTTCGAAGCCCGACAGTGGTTTCTCCTAAAAGCAGAAGAATGGCCCACTACCTGCGCCATCACTGACTGACGCTGTAAAAAAAACAAGGGACAACCAGTAAGTAGGGCATTTCAAAGGCTCGAATCTATTGGCTTCGAATCTCTAGAAAGTTCGCTAAAGTTTTAAGTCGACAGCGAGGACTGGGTATACGCACCAACATAAATAACAAGAAAGCAAGAAGACTATAACTATGAAAAAGCGATAAAAGGCAAAAACGAAAGGGGAACTAGTACCCTGGCCACGGCGTTAAAAAGTTACTGTCACGAAAACAAATCCGGCACAAAGAAAATGTATCCAAAAAATGTCTTATGAGGTGACAGTAACTTTTTTACGTCGTATCTAGTGTACTAGAGAGAACTCGAAGAATATGAATGTCTGTCTTTTATATAGTGAATCCATTTTTTTGATATAAACAATAAACGCCAACAATAACGTATTCATCACGCGCCCATTTATTATCGTTATGCGCTGATTTTTTTATTGCGTTTATTGATTTTATGGGCTTGTTTTATTATCGATTTTTATTCAGTCAGTCAATTGTAACGATTATAAATAAGCGAAAATCTGTTCCAAACAAAATCTGTGAAAAATCCCAAAATCTATACCCAACCTTAAATCAACTTTAGCATCAAAATACGAATTTCCGGTGTCGTATCGCTTGACATATGGGTATCCATCACTGGCTATTATAATTTTTTCTCACGTGTTGTATAAACGTCAAAGTAGAATTTTATCATTTCAGAAGTTATGTATATTGACTAGTATAATGAATGACCGTTACATAACTGGAATAATTCCACGATATTAAAAAACTGTCTGTATACAAATGAGCATTTGCAGTAGAAAAGTGATTTCGCATGGTCGAAAGTAATAAATGAAATGACAACAATGACGGTAATAACTTTTCAAATGAACTATAAATATACGTAGAAGCTATATAAAATTTGATTAAACTGACTGATTATTGTTTTGCATAAAATAAGTTAAATTTGTTTTTCTTGCATATCCTCATTCTCTTTATCAAAATCTTTTTAATCACCAAAGAAAAATAATGAAAACTAATGAAATTATAATTATCTAGAATAGTTTCAAATTGAAGTCACGTCGTGCACATTTGTCTAGAATTCGATTATATCAACAAGAAAAAGAGCAGTAGGAATTTCAGAACAGGGCAAATTCGATATTAAATGAATAGGTCCAAGTGAAGATTGAATATTTTAGTTGTTTAATAGTTAACGGTAAATTTTTTATTGCTATATCCAGTTAATATTTCATATGTTATTCTCACAAATACTACTTTTGTTTCCATCAAATCTTATCATTTGAATTTGTGAGCATGAGAATATAAGATACGACTATTTTTAATAGTTAAGATTAGTAACAAATTAAAATTTTCCAGATACCATACTTTCTTAATGTTACCTGTTCAATTTTGATTCGACGCGTTTCAGTAATCTTGGATCTGTCACATTTTTTATTATTTCTTTCCTCAATACTTCTGACAATTGTAATGAATACAAATATAGTTCAGTGCTTGCTTGAAGATTTTCAGCAATATAGAGTATCAACAAATTAATTATACTTACAAAATCTCCTCTGAAAACTATCTTTGATATTTTACAATTTAATACTCTTGCTTATCATATAAAATCAAAACTCAATATTTTGCAGATTTGTCTAAGAAAATGAAAATTGTTTATTCAATCCTGTTTTTATAATCAATTAATATTATAAAAAATATATGGATCATTTAAGATTGCAACATTATTTGAAACTAATATCATTATCTCCATTAGATTTATTTTTAAACTTAATTTATAATAATATAATAAAGATTGCTAATAAAGATTTGATAATAATTGATAAATTTGATAACTGGTTTATAAAACAAATATATTAATTCTATAGTTATAGCTAGTAGATAGTAAATTAACAGAAGAATAACTTAGCATTACACAAGTTAGATCACAATTCTCAAAACTATCACTATATATAAATTTATAAGATATTATATATATCATGTTTAAGTTTTCAAAGTTTTAATTATACATTTTTATAAAGTAATCTAGTTATTAAAATATAAGTTTTTTTCTGAAATTTATAATGAATAAAAATATAAAAATGAATAACTAGCTATATAAAAGTTTTATAACTATTTTCTTTATTTTTAAAACTTAATCATATATTTAATATCATCAGAATAAAGATAAAACAAGAAATAAAAATAAGATATTAAATATATTTATAATTCTAATATAGTTTTTCACTAATTTTATTATTTTTTAGAGAAATCAAAGTTTATATTCTGAAAAAAAAAATAGATAAGTTAGTAACAAAGCAATCAAAATATAAAAATCTTGAAGTTTTATATAAACTTATTCTGATTTTAATAATTAAAATATATAATTTTTTCTTAAAAAGCCAGTAAAAAATTATATTTTATATGAAAAATCAGAAAACTATATTTATATTTATAATATAATTATGCAAATTAATTTTCTTTTTTTCTGCTTGAATAAAAATATTTAATAGTAAAAGCTTTTTTAAAGACAAAAAATTAATATTAATTATTATATTTTTAAATTCAAGTTATAATAAAATAAATATTAAATAAATAATAAAAGAAGAAGATTATATATCTTAATTTAAAATATAAAGATAATTATATTATTATCTATTAAAAATACTTTAATAATAATCATCTATAATAATATGAAGTTTATAAATATAACTCTTACTAAAAATAATAAAATTTTATGTCTTATTTTTTTTATAGAAAAAGAATTTTATATTAAATGAATATCTTATAAATATTAAAAGTCTATAAAGTACTTAATTTTTGTAAATAATTATAAAATAAATAATAATATTCTAAAAAAAATGGAATTAATATGTAATCTTCTTGTTACATATTATAATATATTCAGATAATTCACACAAAAAAATTGAAATATAGTATTATATCAAGAAAATTCACACAGAAGATTCAAGATATA